ACTGTCTTTGAAGAAAGAGAGTACAGGCTCAGAAAATGGGAGCTACAAGGACTTGGTATTCCAGAATCCCAAACAGGAGCCCCAAAGAAGTCAAAATCATGATGGTGATAGACCAAACGTAGGCTTTGGAGTCAGGTAGACCCAGTTCAGATTCCAGCGTCAACATGCATCACATGTGGGACCTTGAGCACTCAAGTCTAATGTTTCCTCAGCGGTGAACTGGAGATTGAACACTTAACATTAACCCCACATTTTATTTTAGATAATGTAGAACTTTTATGTCTCTGAGCAACTCATGTTAAATATATGGTGGAGCAGAAGTAGGTTTACGTTGCTCATGTGGTAATAATACAATAATTAAATAGTAATACAGGAATAAACTGTGTTTTGTGTACTCACAACTGTAAACCTACTTTTGCCCACCCTGTATTTCTCAGGACTTTCTCGCTGTTAAGCCAGAGTAGTCAGTAGTCTCACTCCTTATGGTCTTCTAGTCTGGCCTGCAGAGGCCCAGATTTTTAAAGCTGTTCTTAACTTTGTACTGTGAGGTTTTAGTTTGATTGAGTTGTTTATTTTTTTATTTTTTCCTAACAATAAGTCATGTTGCAAACTGTGGGGTTTTTTTGGCCATTCCTTTTTTTTTTTTTTTTAAGCATTACCCAAATTATACATCACTGATATGTCCTATAAAATCTGCTTTTTCATAACTCAGTTTTGGTTGACTTTATTATGAAATGATTGACAGGGAAGGTTATAAATAGACCATTTGAAAAAGTAGTTTTACAGTTGTCAGTACATGAAACACAGTTTATTCTTGTGTTAAGTATTGTATTGTTTTACATACAAACAACTGTAAACTACTTTTGCCCCACCTTGTATATTAAAATCATAGAGCCAAAAAGAAACACCTTATAACAGGCAAAGAATAACAGAGCCACACTTGTCTCAAAAGTTAATTATATATGAAGTTAATTTTAGAGCTTTCATTTTATCCCTTGATCTGTATAGTAATAGTGACTGTATAATGGGATATGGACTCGAGTTGTTGGATATTGAAATGTCTCATTTAAATTATTTTACAACCTCTGCAATTACTATTTTACAACTTGAGGCATAAGTATTAAGAGATTATTGTTAAAACTATTTTATGTGTTGCAGGGGAGAATTTGCCCTTTGGCTTGATGGAGATCTCTACCATGGAAGAAGCCATTCTTGTAAAACGTTTGGGAATCATACACTTTCTAAGAAGGAAGATTTCTTTATCCAAGACATTGAGATCTGGGCTTTTGAATAAATATAATGCTCTCTGTCTTAGCAGGATACTGGCCCAAACCTGACATGGACAGGCATTGTTTGGAAAGTTCGAGAAGCAATACATTGTAACATGTTACCCGTGCTTTAAAATTAGTCCGTATCACCATTTATTGCACTTATAATTTTGGAATTCATTTTTAAAATCATGTTTCTGTCCCAGAGTTCTTTAGCTGTAGACCGTGGTGTGGGTCCATGCAGTATAAAAGTGTGGGTTTTGTTAGAATTTTGGCAGCATTTTGATCACAGTGACCGCCTCATCTACAATCCATGTTATCAGTCCCCTAAAAGGATGGTGCTCTTTTGTTGAACCTCTTTTGGTTTATTATTTTTAAAATTATATTGATTGTTTTACTAGACCAGTCTAATTGGGGCATTGAGGGAATGAAGACTAGATACCTCTATATCCGTGAGGTTGGCACAGGCAAATTTTGAACATGCTCAACTTGGTCATTCTTAAGAAGGAAAAAACACATGCCACAGTAACGCATACTTTATGGACCCCTGTGTTCTAGTTCTAGTTCACACTACAACATCCTCTTTATTAATTTTGCAGGCACTCTCAATTTCATTTGAATAAAAATGAAATTTGAGGAGAGTTCTGGTTGAAATAGACTGCAGTGCGCATGATCTGCAGGTTTGGGCATATGCTGTCGTCATTGAATTAACTGATAAAGCGTTACAAACTGACAAAGGAGAGTGAGAACTTGGCAGTTCTAGGGGATTTAATGTATCAAGCAAGAAAATATTCTACTTATATATTTGTAGCTTAGCAGGGTATTATACGTACAAAAACTATGAAACATGCATATTTCTTCATCATTTGTGTCAGGTATACTGTTTTATAGTTCTGTTGTTTTGGCCTTATTGCACCAACTCCCAAAACATAGGTTCCTGTTCAAAAGGAAAAAAAACTTGTGATTTTTTTTTTTGAGTTACTAGTTACCATTAGCATTTGCTGTTATAAAAGGGCAATGATTATAGTAGACAATATTGTAACTCAGTAGACTTGTTGAATATGCAAACTTACTGTCGAGTGACCTCAAAAAAAAAAAAAAGATAGAACATACTAGTAGTTCTTACCCTCTTTTGTAGGAAACCAATAATAAGCCATTACGGCAATAATTCATCAGTTAATTTCAAAGCTTCATGTTATGCAAGGAAACTCCTGCTGTTATACATGTGACAGTGACTTTGTGCTGAAATTTCAGCTATTCCAGATAAACATTGTATATTATCTTGTAAATTAATGTTTAAAGGTAGTTTTGTTCTTATAGAAAGTGTTGATTGCCAGGTTGCTTATAGCACTTTAAATTATTCTAAAAATGAAATGATAAGCCAAATATGTTGGCTTAAGTAGTTTTAGTTGTATAGCACTTGAATATATTTAGATCTTTTGAAAATTTAGATAATTATCTAAAAAAGCATAATGCTAATGGAAATAAAAATCTGATGTTCTATTTAATATGCTATTGCTGAATATGAATAGAAAGGCAGGGCATCATTTTCTTGTCTATGTAAAGCTATCTCATTATAACGTAGTAACAATATATAGATTAAGTGTTTACAAATAGGGAATTGTAAATAAATATATTGGGTCCCCCCCTTTGGTCTTCCACAGCAGTATTATTGTCTTTGTGGAGTTGACTAATCCTACGAAAAAAAAATCCTGGTTGGATTTCAACTACAATAAGGTCATAGTGGTGTATACCAAATAAAATTAAATACATAAATACAAATTTGAGTTTGGATTTATTGAAAATCAATTTATTTTCATATCTAAGAAGTCTTTGATTAAGTGTATTACTATATTTTAGGTATAAAAAATGCTTCTAATTACGGTGGTGGTTGATGGTGGTGACAGTGATGGTGGTGGTGATGGGGGTGGCGGTGGGGGTGGCAGTGGTGTGGTGGTGGTGATGGAAGGATGCGTTCAAGTAGAGGGAACAGCACAGTTTTCAAAGAGGGAAAGTAAGAGGGCACTTGATGTGGAGAAGTGCAAGTTAATATTTTTAAATTATATTTTTTTCTTTTTTGATGGGGAATACATAGCAAGGTATGACTAATGTCATAAAGAGGTTTGTTGTGTGCAGTGCCAAGAGATTTAACTTTTTTTTTTAATCTCATAGGCGTAATTAAGAAAATTTGAGTGGAGAAATGGCATGATCAGAGTTCTACTTCACGAAGATCTCTGAAAAATGGATCGGTAGAAAAACTAGAGACAGACAAGTCCCGTTGTGAAGACCAGAGGGAAAATACTGAGGCCAGAAGAAGAGTAATAACGATGGTGGTTAAAGAAGGGGGCTGGATTTGAAAGAGATTTAGGATTCGAATGAGCAGGCTTTGGTTACTGGCTGTCAGAAGACTCAAGGGTAGCTGTCTGGTTTTTTACTTAGAAACTGGGTGTATTATCTATCGAGCTGGGTGATAACACAGAAAGGAGAAAACAGGTGGGGAAGTTAGGTTAGGAATGGACCTGGTTATGTGAGACACTGGGGGGGATTTAATATTCTGTTCTGATGAAAAAAAATTTAAATCAACAACATACAAGTAGATATTGAAGCCATATCCTATGGATGCAATGCCTTTGGAGATTATAGACTGAGTAAAAAGAGAAATCTTGAGATAGATGTGGGGGTGTTTAGAAATATTAAATGACAGGTAGAAGAAAAGGCCCAAAGCTTCCATCTCAAGAAGCTAGAAGGACAATAAATTAAACCTAATGAAAATAGAAGGTAAGACAAAATAAAGATATGTGCAGACATCAATAAAATTTAAAACAAATATACATAACAAAAAATGTGAGAATAATAAACTGTAAACCTCTAGCAAGATCAAGAAAAAGATCACCATTGTTGAGAATGTAAAAGGAGACTTCACTCCCGAGCCTGTAGACCTTAAAGAGATTGGATATTGTAAACAACTTTACATCAGTAAACTTGACATTGTAGATGAAGTGGAGAAACATTTTAGAAAATAATTTATTAAATCTGATCCAACATAAATTATAATTTTTATGTTATAGAAATTGAATCTGTTTGTTTGTTTTTTTAAAAAAAAAGCCTTCTCTCAAAAGTCCCTGGCCCATATGGTTGGTTCCACTGGGTAATTCTTTTTAAGTACTTATAATTGTTTTGAGGCTAGCATGACTTAAACTTAACAATCCCTACAAAAAAATAAAATTCCAGAACCATCTCATACCTATCAACACTTAACTTTAAATGTAAGTGTATTGAATGCTTCAATCAAAAGAAATAGGGTGGCTGAATGGATAGCAAAACAGACGTGGGTAAGAAAAGAAGCCCTATGTGTGTGCAGTCTGCAGGCGCCGCCTCAGAACAGATACGCAGACTGAAAGTAAAGGGGTGGAAAAGACGTTTCATGCAAGTGGGACGGGAAAGAGGCTGGGCTAGCAGCACCTGTGTCTGACAGAGTAGGCTGTTGGTGGTATTGAAAGACAGACACAAAAGGCAGGCGCGGAGTAAAGGGGCAGCCTCGTTTCTCAGCGATGGGAGGAAAGAGCCCAGGCGCAGGACTTCCCTCCTGTTGGCGCAAGAGGCCGGGGTGAGCTTGGGAATGAAGTCATAAAACTTCAAAGTACAAAAGTTGAAAGGCATCAAACATTTAGAGGTCCAGAGAGAAGGGGTAAAAATGTACATGCCAACAGCCCAGAAACCCTTAAATATCTTACAGAAAGTTTGGAAAAGGAAAATCCTGAAGATTTGGAAACCAATTGTACAGAACCCATCATTGGAAATTCAGAATTACCGACGATAAAATGCTATTGATAGTAAATTTCATTTATAATTATTTTGTATTATTTTGGTGATTATAAAGATATGAGGACTTTGATGAGTTTATTTGCATCGAGTCCTACTTATTTTTTTCCTCTAAAAGCCCTAAATTTTCAACTGGGCTTTTCGATCATGGAAATTGTAGGACACACATCTGTCACATGGCAGTCATTTTCCTCTAAGGACGCTAGCTCTCTGACTTCGCAGCCACACCTTATTAGAAGAGTGCTCCTTGTAAGCTCTCTCAGAAGACTTTTTAAACTCCTTCCTCAAATTCAAACAAATTGAACTCTGAAGGAGCTGTGTCAGTGCCTGAATCAACCAGTGCTGTCCAGAGTGGAATATGAGGAAACTCTGGAAGCCTTGGTGTGACTGTTCCACTGATAGCTGGAAGTAGCCAAGTTGTACTCTATGATTTTGATGTATTCCAAACACATAGTTAAAAATAGTCTAAACACAAGAACAGGAAATACAAGATGATGTCTTTTATTCTTGTACCATATCTTAAAATGTTGACATAGGTTCATGGTTATGATAGTGTACATCTTACATGAAATTCTTATTAATATTGGTCATCAATTCATAATATATTATAAAAACAAAAATGTACAGACCTTTAAGAAGTTACTGGAACTTTAAGTTTTAAAGAATCATACATGAAAACAAAAATAATTCCTATAGTAGTTTAATCCCTACTTTATATTAAACCTAACACCTAACAATTATGAACATCTCTATTATTTTGAGGTATCATAATTTGATATTAATTTCTGCATTTAACACCAAAGTGCTATATAATTTAGTAATTTTTATTGAATTCAGTAAAAATTGTAATCTCACATTTTATTGTTTGTAGAATTCTATAAGGCACATTAAGTCTGAGGAAAAATGACAAGTAGCAGGTTAGTGTCAAGTTTCTCGTTGGCATCATATTAGACTAAACTTTTCACTGTGGCAGAATTAATATTGCTCTTCTGTAATTTTCAGATATTTTATAAAGTTTGTTAGAGTATGAAGAAAATGTACATGAACATTCCACTTTATTGTAGAATTTTCTATATTACTAGTTCATTATATTTTGACATAAATGTAAGCAGCATGACATATTACAGCTTTGAGAAAAAATAAACTCCAAGAAGTCCTACAAGGGCAGGTAAAATTGATCTCCCACCTTCTCTGTTGGTTCTGAGACCACCGCTGATGTCTGTTTTTCATGGGATTTGCACAAATGGAAAGCACAGCTAATTTAGGAAACTTATGAAATAAATCATAGGCCCACGGACAAATCTAAGCAATTACATTATCTTATTTGAAAACTTAATTTTTTATTTGTGTGTCTGTTTTGTAAGTGATGCTATGGTTAACATGAAAGTACAAAATCAAGCTTAGAAAATTTTAAGATTAGTTTTGCCGAACTTAATGGAATTCTTTTTTCCCCCGAAAAATGACATAATATGTGCTGCTGCTATTTACCTAAACTCAGCATTCTTCTTAGTTATAGTAATTATTTCATTAAAGATCTATAACAATGTCTGCAATGAATAGCCAGATATTTTTGCCTAAAAGGGTAAGTGGAATTTCCAAATCTTCAAACTTCCTCAGAAACAGAGTGCCAAAAAAGTCATTCGTGGAAAAAATTGTTTAGCATTTCCTAACTTGTGACAGAGCGTTTGCATTTTAGTTTTTACTCCCTCAGCAGTTCGCATTAAGACAACAGTGGGTCCGCGCGTTCACTCGAGCAGAGTGATCACAACGTGGTCGTCCCGGCCTTGCCACAGCATCTCGCCCTCGAAGTCCACCAGCCCGTGCTTCCTGGCGCGCATGAGGATGCCCACGACCTTGTCCGAGATGCGGACGTACCTGTCGAAGAGATCCCCGAACGTCACCTGGACCTTGCCGTCGCGGCGGCGGCGGGCCATGGTGCGGATGATGAAGCACATGTCCGTGATCTCCCTGTGGATGTGCTGCTCGGCCCGCCTGGCCCTCTCGGCCGTCTTGGTTCCCTCCTTGGGACGCCCGTAGCCCTCGTCCCCCTTGTGCAGGCGGCTGGACATGGCCAGCTGGTAGTCAAAGTCCTCGCTGAAAGGGTTCAGCTTCTGGGATTGTATGTGTTCCTCAGCCCACTGCTGCCACCTCCCCTTCAGGTCGTGCACTTGGCTGTGTTCCCGCTGGGCCTTGCGGCTGAGTTTCTCGGTAAATCTGTTTGCCCTAAAGGGGAGAGAGCGAGAGAATCAACACACTGATATCCTACCACACAAGGGCTGCTTGCTCGTACTTTCTGCACTTACGCGTCATAATGGAAGCCTCTAATATTTTTCATTATAAAAGAAATATAAGCACAATACAAAGAAATTAGAAATGAAAGAAGAAAAATACCATTGTTTTTAGCTTGGTAGATGCCCTTCTAGATTATTTTCTCTAAATAACAGTAAGGTTTTAAGCACCATAAAATAATACTAAACTATTTTAAGAAAAAAGCTTCCTTACACAAATGTAATGCAAATACATGTACCTTAAATTGCATACTGATGACATTTTAGAGCTGGAAGCGTGAGTGTATCAAGGGAATCCACTTTATGTAGATCAGAAACCAGCTGTTTCTCCGCAAATAAGGCTTATGCCAGCACACACGCATCGTAACATTCACTCTCCTAGATTTTCATCTATGGATTTTTAATGAGAGTGTATCTATACTAGTGTCAGTGGTGTACCAGGAATTTTAAAATATCTAATTGTATAGATAGAAGACACTGGCTGGCAATAATAACACTTATTGAACACAATGCTGGCATTCTCGGGCTAAAGTCAATGCTTCCCACTGTGCCATGCTGCTGCTCAGCAGGTAAATGAGGTGTGTGTCAAGTGTGTGTGTCCTTGCAATTTGGAATGCATTTTTTATAAAAAAAAAAAAAAATACCAGCGTTGGAAAGTGTAACCCAGTAGCGGCCTGAGTACAGGCCTAAGTTTAAAACGGGCAATTTGTCTTTAAAAGACTTGCCTGTCATTTCTGCATCTCTAATCCCCTAGACTTTTTCCCCAGATCTCTCTGCCTTCGAGAGTAAACATGATGTGTTAGACAATCTGAAAGAGCTCCGTACTCCTCAGCCTCGCAAGTGGCCCACCCTTCATCTCCCCAACACCCAGTGGCCTCATCTGGAAGCAGTGGGGTTGGCGGTGGAGAGCAGCTGGGAATTTGCTTGGGAGAGTGGCCTGCCTGAACTAAGCAGCCCCTCCTGGCCGCACTCTCACAGTTTGCTTTTCAGAACCCAGGAACTGTTGCAGATGTATTTTCATTATGCAGATTCACCTCCTGAAGCCTGGTTATCCAAACGCAGGAGGCTGATAGACGGAGAGGGCGCCCTACGTGTTTGTATTAACATTGTTTTCTAAGAGGAATGACACCCACTAGAGGGCGAACTTTCTTTAATTCCCACACTTTATGTTTCCAAAAGTCCTGTCCTATTACAATGGATTTCAGACTGGGAATGCGCTGCTACATACAACGCTGTTCTTTGCAGCCACATGGGACAATACGTACGTCACAGGATTATAAACATTAAAAGGGAAAAGCATGTAAAATACCCATAGTGCACACTAAATGCACGAGGGTTGTTAAAATGATCTAAGTTTGCCATTTCATTTTTCTTGAAAGCTTGCGATATAATAGTTCTAATTCTTTCAAAACACCTGTGAAGTCACACACTGGAAGACAGACAGCTCTTTGTCAAATTAGGTAACCAATTTTGTATTTTCTGGTTGTTTCATACATAAAACTTGAAAAGCACGCCTACACATCTAACTGTTCTCGGGGAGTCCGTTAAAGGCACTCATCACATCAGAGACGCTTCCCATGTTGTGATATCCTGGGTTGGGGACTGAGATATCCTGACTTTCTAGTATGTGGAGGTGGAGTTAAGTGTCTTGAAATAAAGCATGTGTTTCTTGTCTGAATAAGTGGTAGTTTGAGTGTGTGGGTTGTGTATGTCTGTGTATTTGGCACTTAAATAGTTAAGGATTGTGGTATTTTAATTACCTAGCTTTAATAGCATTTCTCTTTGTTTACAGGTGACAGTTTTTTCCTGAAAGTTTGGAAAGGTGCTAAATACTAGAATATGTGAATAACAGCTTTCGTCTATTGGGCCTATGTGGCCGGTACTGTGCTAAGTACTTGGCAGCCTCTCACTCACTTCTCTCAATACTATAGGATCTATCCCAAAAGATTGCTGTTGCCATCATTTTACAAAGGAGGAAATGGACTTGGGAAAATAATCAGGTGTGTGCGGAGAACATTTAAGATCTCTTAGCAGCTTTCAAGCAGGTGGTACAGCATTGTTAGCTGCAGTCAGGGCAGAGCTGGCATCTGAACCTGGGCCTGTCTGACTTCAGGGCCTGCTCTCAAGGTAGGCAGCCGCCTCCTGCCTGGTTACAGATCAGAGGCCTGTGTTCCACGGGCACTATTTGGGGAGAGAGGGCTCCTGATAAAATTTAGACTGATTTGGGACAAAGGAAAGGCACCTCCAATCGACCTACCAGCAAGCATTTTTTTCTCTACAGAGAAGCCAGTTTACTAATTATACAGTTGATCTTACAGTTTTCCCCAGAGCACACGCCACCCCTCTGGTGGTTTCACTTTTGTTGCGGCTAAAACTCGAGTGTTCAGTTCAAGCAGGGAGGAGAAACAAAGCAACGCAGGCCCCCTACCCAAAGGTCCCGGGGAGCCGGGCGCCGCCCCTTCAGCTCTGGGGCCTTCCCCGGGGACCTCCCCGCTCCCGGGGCGCCGGGGGCAGCGTGCGTGCACTCACTGGGCGGGCAGGGGGCGCTTGATCCTGGCAGCTGCCGCCTGCTGTCCATCCTGCTCGGGCCTGTCCTCGCTCTCCCCTCCGTAGCCACTGTCCTCCGTGTCTATGCTGTCGCTCCTCCACTTGGGCTCGTCCTGCTCCATCGCCCTCCAGCCTCTGGTCAGCTCCGACACCAGGCGGGCGCACCTCCTCCTGCGCGTCGGGGAGCCGTGGCTGTGGGGGAGCCTGTCAGCGGCGTCCTCGGGCTCCCCGGGCTCAGGCGTGTCACCGTCCTTCTCGTATCTGTGGCTGAGGTGGCTCACGTCGCCTCCCCTCTCGTACGCTTTGCTGACCACTGTCTTGGTCACCTCTTTCCTTTTGATGTGGGCGACCTCGGCGCCCTCCGAGCTCTGTCCGTCTCCGTGCCCCTCCGGCTTCAGGGAGGGAGGCTTCGGGGCACCCTGAGCCTTCTGGTGGGGCGTGGGGGGGGCCACTGCCTTAGGATCCTGGGGTGAGTCCTGGGTCCCTCCCGGCAGCCAGCCCGCGGGCTCCTGGGCCTGCCTGGTACTGTTCTCGTTTGCCCACTGCTGCCAACCTCGGGCCAGGTTGATCACCAGGGTGGCCGTGTGGATCTTCCGGAGGGCGCTCTTGGCGGGCCCCTCCCCTCTTCCATTTTCTCCGGGTGTCATGCTTCCCTCCTCTTCTGCGCTGAGAGCCTGGGCACCCACAAAAAGGAGTGGGGGCCCGTGGGGTGCGTCCGACTTAAATAGAAGCAGGGTGTGGGGTGGGAAGAGTTTGGTGACGACGAAAGTATGCGAAGCATCTCTTGCCAGGACGTGGTGCCTTCCCCCTGATGCTGTTCTTTTTTTAAACCCTGACGGCTCCAGTTTCATCACAGCAGAGGGATCTCCGCGGTAAAGGACAGTGATCTGCTCTCTCCCCTTCTTCTCCAGGTGCCAGAGTGGAAATGACTAGATCTGATCATGTGCTCAGCCTTATGTTTTTCTTGACCTTAAAATATGGCCCTACCATTTATAGAAGCATAAAATATGTGCACAAGTTGTACTAGGGACATTATAGGTGTGGGCTCATTTAAACCTCAACAGCCCTCAAGATAGCTCTTAGTCCCATTTTACCACCGAGCGCGATGAAATCCAGCTTCCCAAAGCTAGTATCTGAGGTTCGAACCCAGAGCCGTCTGCTTCAAAGCTCTACCTCTGTCCATTCTGCTGATCAGAGATCCTAAGTGGCCTTTTGCTGTTTCCTTCAATTCCATTCAGCACAGACCTTAGAAGTCACCTCATCCAACCTCCATTTTCCAGATGAGAACATTGAGGCCCAGACGAAAGGGGGGTGACAGCAGACATGTTTTCTAGTCCCGGGTCTGAATTACTGTATAAACAAATCATATTAGCTGAAGACGGTCAACATTTTGGTCCAATTATTTTTTAAATCTTTAAGACCTACACATACATTGAATTACATAGATTATTATGAAATAATAATTCTTTTCAAATTTTGTTAAAAATGACCATTTAAAGACACAAAATAAGTCAGTGCTATCAGAAGCAACCCCTGCCTTATCTTCTGTTTTTAATAACACAACTTTCTTTGCAGAAAAAAACCCACTCTTTCGATTCTCGGAGCAAAGACGGAAATACAGTTTTTTAAAAGATGGGATAGGTAGGCCATCTGGACGGAAAAGAACCATCTGTGATGTGTACTAAACCAGGTAAAATGCTCAGAGCTCAGCACTGAATGTTCTTAAAGTAAGACAAATATATTTTCTTCATAGAGCAGTTCTATAGACTTTAATACTGTACCCTTTTCTCCAGCCTTGGCCTGCAGGTAACCATGCTGATAAAAAAACTGCTAAGAGCATACAAACAGGTATGAAAGTTAATTGCTTCTGATAGTAAGACCACTTTATTTTTTAAAATGATGCCAGTTTTCTCATCATGGAGGTCATTTACCTCCTAGGATTAAAAAATTAGGGAGCGGTTTTAATCCCCTACCTAGAAATCTGTCACAGGTTCAACATTATCCGATGTTAACGGAGTTCCAGCAATGGACAGTCAAAAATCCCTCTCGATTAATTAAGAGGAAATTGGAGCACAGGAAAGAAAGCTGTTGCAAACAAAGATTTAAGCTGAAGTCTGACATTTCTGGCGTTCGTTCTTGTTGTGTGGATACTCAGCAGGCTCTGGTTCCCGTTGAGACTCCCTTCGCCGAGCTCGGAACGCCTTGGGAAGGAATGGGGTTCCTTAGAGGCGCCCGCGAGCTTAGTCCAGGATCAGGCTCATAGACAGTTTTCAAAGGGACTTTTCTGCTTCGCTGGCCACACCTGCTGCACATTCACTTCTGATAGAGGGACGACAGATGGAGACAGCCAAGTGTTGTTTAGTCTTTCGGGCACCGTAGTCAGCTGCCGGGGCCTGGGGCTATCAGCACATAGCCTTGGCAGAAACAGAGGCCTCTCCTAGAAAAACCTGGTTCTTCTTCTGAGATGTCCCCCCCCCGGCGACTGTGGCCCTTCATCCATACTTGTGCAGAAGGGAGTGGGCTTTCCTGCCCTAAAGCAAGACCTGTTTGCCACCTTCTGATCACCACAGGAATGTTCTCCCTCCCCCTGGAGCTAGGTCTAGAGTCTGAGGAGCGGAGTAGCCTTCTACCTGAATGGCAGGTGTAAAAGATAAAGTCCCAAGAACAGAGAGAGTGAAATAAGTAGTTTACGGTGCGGGTTTTCTATAAAACCATGAGATTAGAAACTAAGTGAAGTCGCAGACCTGATGAATGGAGTTGGTACCACCCAAGAAATTCCTCATAAGTGTGGAAGTTTTGGAAAAAAACACTAGTTATGATTTGAGCATATGGGCAATAGCAGGGAGAGTGGGGTGTGAACCCACTTCTCCGCAGGTGGACCCTGACTTCCAACCCTCATCACCGGCTCCCCGACCTCACTCAACAGACCCTGGAAACCTGTGCTTGCTCAAAGCTCATGTGAAACGGTAACACTTTGATCCTTTCTGCATAAGCTGAGCCCTTGTTTCGTTTCTGAAAGGTGGGAATGAAGAGATGTCCATGCGAGCGGCTGCTTTCAGCTGCACTTTTCTCGATGCCTGGGCGCGGGACGCCGTGGGCAGGCTGGACGGCGGGCACAGGGGGCCCTCCAGGCCCTACTTTCAGGGTGCTGCCCATCTAGAGGGGCAGACACGCACACGGCTGCCCACGGCGTCCCGCACACATAATTTATTTTCTCTAAGATTCAGTTTCTTGATAAGATTGGCATTATCAGAGCATTTACCTCCTGGAGTCAGTGTGGGGTTTAAATGAGTTAACACGTGAAGCACTTAACACCATGCCTGGCACGTGCAAACTCTCAATAACTGGTTATTGTTATTAATATTTTGATTTTGAGGCCTGGAGTTAGAGAATTAAAGCTCCTTAAGTAGTTCTGTTTGACCAAGGACAGGATTAATACCAGAGCCGTAGCAGGGTGTCTTCAGGTGGAAGGGTCAAGTGAAGTCACTTGTAGGGAGTGGAGGCTTCAAGGGGAAGCTTATTTATAGTGTTTTATTTTAAGATAATTTATAGTGAGTCTCTTAAGGCAGTGTCTAAAAGGTCTCCCTCACCCCGGTGAGGGTCACATGAGGTCTCAGTTACTTGGTAGTGATAACCAAAGAGTTGAGCACAGACTGGTGCCTCTTGGAATATAGAGCTCAGTGGTTTACAGTCACTGAGGATCACGTTAGGATCTTAAATCACATTGGGATCACCCATGGAGCTTTAAAAACTACAGATTATGAAGTGCTGTCTCTGGAAACAGGTCTGGGGTGAGGTCCTGGCACCACTTGAATCTAACATGACCTCAGGATTGAGACCCATGGTTCTAGCTTCTAGAGAGCTGTGGGTCCGGCAGACACTCAGCATGCATGTTTTAAGAGTGTAGTGACCAGTAGTATGGGTCCAGGCAGATTGGTTTTGCATTCTAGATCTCCTTTCAGAATCTGTGTGCCCTTGGAGAAGTTACTTAACTTCTCTGATACTTTATTGCCTTGTCTGAAATGGCAATAATATTATTTTCCCCCCTAACGTCTGTGAAGCATCGTTTGAACATTAGAACACTCACTCCTCCTTCAAATGCTTTCTTCGCTTGACTTCTAGAACAAAGCACCCTCTTGGTTTTCCTCCTACATCAATGGCTGCTTCCTCTCAGTGTCCTCTGCTGGTATCTGCTCCCCTTCCCAGCTCCTAACCCTGGTGTGTTAAGCTCAGAGTCAACTTTGTTCTACCAGTTGCACAGGCCAAAAACCATGAAGTAATCTTTGACTCTATCTTTTCTCTTATCCCAAATTCAGTCAAGGGATATGTTGCATATACCTTGAAAGGTGTCCAGAATGTACCATTTCTTACCATCTTTACAGCCATCAAACTCCCCACCTCTGCCTACCTGGACCATTCGCAGCTCAAGCCACCATCAATTCTTGTGTGAATTATGCATAGTCTCCTTAACTGATCTTCCTGCTCCCACCTTGTCCAGTCTGTGCTCAACATTAGCCAGATCCTTCAAAAACATAAGTCAGAGCCTATCACTTTGGTACAAAGGGATGGTGTGTGGGAAAGAGTAGAGACTGAGATAATTTTTTTTTTCTATCCAAAGAACCCCACCACCTCCAAGGGCAGGATGTTTGGGGGTCTCTGTAGGCGCTCTGGTCTCTTTCCCACCCCCTTTATACATATTAATTTGGAGAAACTGGTAGGACATTCAAGGTAAGTTGTTCAGTAGGCAGGGACTGGAGCTCAGGGGAAAGGTCTGGGCTCTTATAAAGATTAGGGCATCGTTTTGGATCATGGATACTCAAGTTTGCCACATCACAGAGTCAACAAGAGTTACATGGGCTCAAACCCAGGCCCTGTGAATGACTGTGCTCCAACAAATTCCTTTTCTCCTCCTTGCGCTCCACCCCCACCTTGAAAAACAGAACTTCACAGCTTGTGACACTGCTCTCTAAACAAGGAGATCTAATTATAGAGTTCCTTAGCTCTGACTTTTATCTGATCCTGTAAAACTTTCCTTTCCTTAATAGCCAAGTGTCTCTACGTGACCTGATGGAGGTGTTAGCTAACTCTACTGTGGTAATAATTTTGCGGCATCTAAGTGTGTCAAGCCAACACATTTACAGCTTAAATTTACACAATGTTATTTGTCAATTGTATCTCAGTAAATCTGGGGAAAAGGTATCTTCAGAAAGTAGTCTACACTCCTTAACTTATGACTTCCTTTTCATTTTTCAACTCATTCAACTCACAATTCTGATTTTTGCCCTGAAACTCAATTTAGTCAAGGTCATGGATGACTTCTTCATTGCCAAATCTCAACCTCTATCTTCAGTTAAATATAACCCAGATGTCCTACAGACTCTGCCACATGTGTAATTTCTGCCGAAAGTAGCTGAGATTGGTTGGAATCCATGGAGCAGGAAGTCAAGGAGGGTTCAAGAAGGCCTGGAGGTGGTGGGTTGTAGGACGACTTTGTAAAAAAACGTTTTATGAAAGGAAGAGATCCACCATCTAGTGAGAAGCTGCATGGCTTGTTTGCTACAGTGAGTGCAGAAATCTGGTGCCAGACAATGAAAATCCTTCTAAACTTTGACTTTGAAAACAGTGGGTTTAAAGAGGTAGAGGCAGTAAGGTGACAGAGAGA